TGGGAGACAGGAAGGACACCAACCATCAGCTCTTCTTGGGCTAAGGGACCAAAGTATAGCCCGATCTGGCACTCTGTCTCTGGGACGGGCGTCCCAAGCTGTCGTAACCAAACTACTAAGCAGATGTGGTTAGCAGTGGTATCCCGGAGGGGCTGGCTCTGGGCACCACAATCTACGAATAGACACAGAAGGGGACATAGGTCCTGAGTCATTCCCCTGATCCTGGGAGCGAGCACAGCCTCCCTCCCGAGCACAGCCTCCCTCCCGGCCACAGTTGGTCCAATTGTTGTTTGAAACCAAACAGGACCTTTTCCTCGCTTTTCTGGAAACACATCTCCCGTGTTCCAGCCCTCAGGGAAAACTCCCTCAGTGGCCGTGACGGCCGCTTGCTGAACCTGCTGTGGGCACCCCCTCTTCAGCTCACAGGTCCAAACCCTACCTGGCCCCGAGCCCTCCCCAGGCCCCTACAGAGAGGCCTTCCACTTCCTTCATTTTTATTTATTCATTTTTGGGTTTTGAGCCACACCCAGCGGTGCTCAGGACTTCCGCTTTGTTCTGTTTCTCTCTTCTCTCACAGGACAAAAAAACTCTGTCCTTGTCTCCTGCACAGTGCCAGGCTCAGGCTCTGGGGCAGACCACCCCAAAGGGCAACCCCAGGTCTGCTGCTCAAGACAACCCTGTGACGTGACCAAAGACACAGAGTGTGAGCCACCAGGAAGGCCTGAGTTCGAGTCCCCGCATCTCCACTCACGGGCTGGCTGGTCCCGGAGTGTCGCCTAAGTCCCGTGGGTGTGTTCGTCTATTACACAGCGTGGCTGATGGCCCGTGAGGAACGGAGGCATGGTCATGGGCGAGCCTCCCTCACAGCAGCGTGGGCAGGAGCGCTGGGAGAGAGCAGCAGGATTCCAGCGCCAAGAGTCTGCTGCAGCAGCTGCCCCAGGCAGGACTGGAGCCCGGAGCCCAGGGCCTGCCAGGTGCCCTGCGGTGTCTCTCTCGGTGCCCGAGTGACCCCCCTCATCTCCAGCTGCCTTACAAAGCCTCCCCTTGGGACTGAAAAACAACCGGTGGGAAATGCTCCGCACAGAGAAACCCCAACAGGGAAAAAGATTCTTCCTGGTTTCCTGAAGTCCTAAGTGTTTCCCAGGCAGCCTGTCTGCGGGGCAACTGTGGCAGGGCTTCAGTTGGTGGGGCACCGCAGCCCGGAGGCTCTGAGAGCTGGGCCCAGGGCAAAGGGTGCCCACTACCACACACCCAAGCAGCTTCCCTCTTGTGAAGAACCCACAGTTCTTAAATGTCCGGCTTTGGGGGGGCCTTGGTTTGAATAACCGCAGGGCAGCCATCTGCTCTGTGGGGACAGTAGGGATGTGAGATCTGTCACCACAATCTAAGTCCCACTGACCCGTCCAACACTGGACAGGATGAAAATGCACGGGCCAAACCAGGAGAGCCCAAGGCAAGCCTGGAATTGCTGAGAGGAGAGGACGCAGGTGAACGCAAGTTGCTCTGAGACTTCAGCCAAGATAAACTATAGACCGAACACGATGGCCACTTAATGCCTGTATTGCAAACCATAACACCCAAAGGGAGAGAGAGAGAATAAAAGGGAAAGTCTGCCACAGAGGGGGGGTGGGGGATGGGGTGGGAGGAGGGACACTGGGAACATTGGTGGTGGAGAATGGGCACTGGTGGAGGGATGGGTACTAGATCATTGTATGACTGAAACATAAGCATGAAAAGTTTTTAAGCCTGTAATTGTACCTCACAGTGATTCATTAAAAAAAAAAAAAGGACTTTAGCAATACTGGGGCTGGAGTGATAGTACAGCGGGTAAGGCGTTTACCTTGCACGTGGCCAACCCAGGTTCGATTTCGATTCTCAGCATCCCATATGGTCCCCCTAGCACCACCAAAAATAATTCCTGAGTACAAAGCCAGAATAACCCCTGTGCATTGTCGGTGTGATCCCCAAAAAAAAAATTAAATTAAAAAAAGACTTTAGCAATACCATTCTTGGAGAAAAAAAATGCTGGAGGGGCTGCAGGGTAGGGCACTTGCCTTGCATGAAGCTCAACCTGGGTCGATCCTCAGCACCACATAGGGTCCCCCAAGTACGGCCGGGAGTGATCCCTAAACAGCACTGGGTGTGGCCCAAAAACAAACAATAATTTTTTTAATAAATAAAATGGGCTGGAGCGATAGCACAGCGGGTAGGACATTTGCCTTGAACACGGCCAACCCGGGCTCGATTCCTCTGTCCCTCTTGGAGAGCCCGGCAAGCTACCGAGAGTATCCCGCCCGCACAGTAGAGCCTGGCAAGCTCCCCCTGGAGTATTTGATATGCCAAACACAGTAACAAGTCTCAGGATGGAGACATTACTGGCGCCCACTGGAGCAAATCAATGAACTACCTACAACAGTGTGACAGTGTTACAGTGTAAATAAATAAAATGGTGGGGGAGGGGATTTGGTCATACCTAGCAGTATCTGACTGCACAGAAGCAACATATGGAAGTGCTCAGGGGGCCAGACAGGTTGCCCAGGATTTGGGTCGGCAGGAGGTCAGGCAAATGCCTATGCTGCTAGAAGCTTTTAGATCTGGGTGGAGAGGCACTTTAAGGAATAAGACGCGCACCTTGCCTGCAGCTGGCCCCGTCTGCTCTCCAGCACTGGATGATCCCCGAAGCTGCAATGATATCCACCTCTGGATTGGCCCAGAGGCACCAGCAGAGACTCTCAAAGTTCTCCCCAAGGAGCTGGGCAGGAAGGCACACGCTCGACCAAGCCCAGACAACTGAATCAGAAAATTCTGGGAGTGGGTCCCAGTCCGCAGCTGCTTTCCACGGCCTCTGGTCAAGGGTACCGGCTCTCGCCTGCGACCTTTTGCTCTAAGATCCTCCTTTTTCAGCTCACACTCTCCTTGGAGGCCTGCTGTGTGCCAAGGAGTGGGGTGCTGGCGTTCCAGAAATGAGGACACACATACTGGAGAAACTTCAGCGATGCAACGGGCACCCACGACACACAGCAAGGGCAGCCCGGCCAGCATGGCGGCAGGACACAGTCCGGGACTCCGTTCCCCAGACCCCACCCCACCCCACCCATGGGATCTGGTCTTGTCGTGGTGACTAGTGAAAGAGGAACCTTGTTCTGAGAAAGCCACCCCCCACCCCACCACTTCAGAGTCGGGCGGGCGCAGGCCTGAGGTGCCTCACTCAGAAGCTTGGTTTGACGGAACCGTTCCCGGGACTCTGCCCAGATGGAACTGGCCCTATCTGAGGTTTGGACTCTGAGAGTCCCCAGGGGGCCCTGAGCCAGAGCCAGAGCCAGTGACAATAATACACTTCCAGGCAGGGTCACTCCCCAAGGCCCCTGGCAGGCCGGCTCACAGAGATAGAGACATAAACACACACCCAGACGTTACCCCACTGGCCTCCCTAACTCCATTCTCAAGTTACAAGGTTAAAGGCAGCCGGCCCCAGTCCAGGGGGAGGGAAGAGGGGGTTGCTGAAGCAGGAAGCCATCTGGTGTGGATCAAGACTGCTCCTTCTGGACCCCAAGGAACTCCCCAGCGGCTCAGAGGTCCTCCCTTTCTCCCCATCTCCCTCTTCCCACCGGCAGGGAAGCTGGGGATCAGTTTAGGACGGATAGACCCAAAGAGAACTCTGCTCCAGGAAGATGCGGGAACAAAACGTTGAACTACGCAAGCCTCTGCTGACTCTTCCTTGCAAACCTGAACTCACCAAGAAAACTTGAGACACTCCCAGCCTTCGTCGTCGTTGCCAACACACACACACACACACACACACACACACCAGACCCGGTGCCTTCCCCCATCCACACCCCCAGCATACACCCTTCCCTCCCAAGAGTCTGCTGGGATCCACAGATTCATCTTAGGTTGCCACATGCATCAAAGTAGAGAGGTTCCCTCCATCTCAGAGGGGCAGGATCTCCAGAGGCACAGAAAGAGGAAGGAGCTATCAGCTTCTAGAAAGTGAGAGTGAGAGGTCCTGGCTAGGGAACCCCCCAGCAACGGCTCTGCTAGGCCCAAAGTGCCCAGCACCCTCTACCCCCACCCTCCCCAAAACCACCTTTAGCAGCTCTGTCCAAAGGGGCGGCCAGTCCCTCTTCCTCCGTCCTAATGCCCCCCACCCCAAGTCCCCCTCCGACGGTGCTCACTGCAGCTCTCAAGATGGGAGATGCATGCAGTTGGCAGGGAGGAGAAATCCACAGCTACCTTGGGCAACCGGCTGAGGGGTGTGTGATGGCACCGCAGAGCAGACCAGAAGAGGGTCTGAAAGAGGAGAGGGGAGGGCTGGAGTGGCGCCGAGCTGAGGGGAGTCTGAAACCAGCCCAGTCCTGAGCTGCGGCCGGCCAAGGGGCTGGGAAGTTTGGTCCGAGGCACCGCGGAAGGCAGGAAGGCAGGAACCGGCGGGTTCTCCCCAGGCCAGGCAGGGGTGCGGGTCAGTGCCTCAGCGCCGGCCAAGTTCCTGGCTTGGGCCATGCCTCAGTTTCCCCACAAAGGAAAAGAGGAGGTAAAGCTATTGGGTCCGATGCAAGAGAACTGGGTCGTTCGTCGTTGGGGGTGGTGAGGGGGCAGCGCCAGGTGAGGGAAGAGAGGAGGGAGACGCACGGGATGCAACGACAACCTCTGGCCAAGAAGCGCGGGCCAGGGGCGAGGTGGAAGGGATGCCCCGGCCCGGGGGTGCGGGGTGGGCTGTGGAACTGCCAAGCCCGGGCGGCCGCTGTCCCCGGAGTGGGGAACACACTCTCCCGGGGGACTGGGACGGGTCTGAGGTGCAGAAGCACCAGGCGGGGCCGGGGACTGAGGCCAAGGCAAGCGGACCCCCGCCCCCACGCGCCCCGACTCCGGGGAAGTTGCCGGGATGGACCTGGCGGGTCTGGGCCTCCTGGGCCGAGCCCGATCGCCCGGCGCACCGGACTCGGTGCAGCGAGGGGCCCCGAGCGCCCCGCATTCCGCCCGCCCTCCTCCAGCCCGCGCACCTCAGTCTGCGCCGGGGTCCGCGCGGGCCATACTCGCCGCCGCTGCCGCCGCCTCCGCCCGTGCAGAAAGCCGCTGGCGCCGCCGGCGTCCGGACCCGTTAGCTCCGCGGCTCCCCCGTCCGCCCGCAGAGGGCCAGTCCCGCCCTTGCCGGCCCTGCCCGCCCCGAGCGCCGCCGCCGCCGCCGCCGCCGCCGGAGCACGGCCCCTCCCCCCACCCCAGCCCGGCTAGAAGGGAAGGTGGGGGGAGGGGGGCGGGTGCCCCCTCCCCACTCACATCCTCTCCGGCTCCCCCCGCCCTCCGCCCCGCGCGCGCGGTGCAACCTGGGATTTGGAGTCCATCCGGCGCTGGGCTGCTCGGGATACTCCGCGCTCAGGACTACATATCCCAGAAGGCAGCGCGCTCGAGCCCCAGGGAGGATGGGCTCTGTAGTTCGGCCGGGGCTCAGTCGCGGGAGGGGGTCTATCGCGCGGGAGGGGTGCGGGGAGAGGAAATCTCCTTTCCCAGAAAGCCGGGCTCCCGGCGACTGAAATAGAAGCGGTGGAGTCCGCGGTGGGCCCGGCCCAGAATTCACGACTAGCGCTCCCCGGGGGGATGCGAACCGAGCCCGCGGTGCCCCGCAGGGGCTGTGGCTCCTGCAGCGGAGCCCGGCTGGAGGGACGCCTCCGGCGCGAGCCGCGCCCTGGGTTCCTCCCGACGCGTGCTCCCCGCGAGCAGTGCGGGGAGGCGAGCGTCAGTCACGCCCCGGCTCCGCGAGCAGCTGTGCCCTCGTGGTGGTGGCAGCGAGCGCACCGGGCTACGCGGGCGCGGGCTTTGCCCCACCTGGGAAAACGGCGCTGGGTTGGCTGTGCTTTTCCTAGCTTGCTTGCCCACTTAGGCACCGCCAGCAAATTTCAGGCTCATTTCAAGCCTCCTTCTCTTCCCCTTAGATATTCGTAGCGTCTGCTCACCAGTTCTGGGTAAAGTGCACACATTTGAAACACGTTTCTGAAGGAGCCGTGAAAGCCAAGAAAAGTTTAGAGACATTAAAAAAGAAAAAAAAGCCTTAACAAATTGGGGGCCCCGAGTGGCAGTACAGCGGGTAAAGAGCTTGCCTTGTCACGCGGTCGAGCCAGGTTGGATTTTTTGTTTTTTTGAGGGTTTTTTGTTGTTGTTGTTTGGTTTTGCTTTTTGTGCACTCAGCGATGCACAGGGGTTACTCCTGGCTCTCCACTCAGGAATCACTCCTGGTGGTGCTGGGGGATTCTGTGGGATGCTGGGAATCGAACCCTGGACAGCTCGCGTGCAAGGCAAACGCCCTGCCCACTGTGCTGTCGCTCCAGCCCCCCAGGTTCAATTTCCATCCCCGACAGGCGTATCCTTGAGTGCAGAGTCAGGAGTAAACCCTGAGCACCGCCCAGTGTGGCTAATAAATAAATAAATAAATAAATGTTAATGTGAAAAGCCTTAGCAAATGCTTAGAGAGACAGTCAAAAATATTGGGGGCAAGAAAACTGACTTGGGCTCTTGCCTTGCACGTTGTGGACCCTGATTCAATCCCCTGATTGTCCCTCTCCCAACCCCATGCTTGTAGGAGTAAATCCTGAGCACCAATAAGTTTGATATTCTTCCTCCAAAAAAAATGCCTTGTTGACAGCTCCCTACTAACTGAGGCAGCTTGGAAGAACATAACCTATAAAATCAGCTTCTTAAAGCACTTGTCTTCTCTTTTTCCTTTCTTTTTTAAGTTTTCAGGTCACACCTAGAATTGTTCAGGGGACTGCTCCCAGTGGCAGGAGGGACATCATGCATTGCCAGGATTCCAGCAATTAAAAAAAACAACCATGCACTCCAGTCCTTTCAGACATCCGTCCAGCTCTTCTCCAGAAATACTATTCCACAACCTACAGACAAGAACCTGGATCTGCCTGGAGATTGAGGCTGATTGCTTTCATCAGTCCTCGTCTGCCAGGGCACACCCCCACACCCCGCAGACATTTATGCGTCCTCTCATCTCTTCCACCAACTTCCAACCCTGCTCAAACTCTTCAGGAAGATCCAGATCCATCAATTTCATCATCTAAGCTTCCATCCCTCTGGGATAGTGGTATGGCAGGAAAAAGCATTGCAGGCTGTTGGGTCTCAAACCCGATACCACACCAGAGTGCCTGGAGAGTTAGTTCACATACATCCCTGGTTTCCATCCCATCAACTCCTGGATGGGCTTGAGACTTTGCCTTTCTTCCAGGTTCCTTGGTGAGAGTGAGCATGACTCCCCAGAACCACATATGGTCCCCCAAGACCCAAGGTGAATGATCCCCTGAGCACAGCTAGATCTGACCCCAAACCAAAAATCACCAACAAAACATACAATTTAACGTGAATTACTTCATTTACATCCTCCCCCACATTAAAAAGACTCAAGTATTGGGGCTGGAGCAATAGCACAGCATGTAGGGCGTTTGCCTTGCACACAGTCGACCCGGGTTCGATTCCCAGCACCCCATGTGGTCCCCCAAGGTCCCTGAGCATCACCGGGTGTGGCCCAAAAAGAAAAAAAAAAGACTCAAGTATCACAATATAGTTGGGCTGGTTACCGTTTTTTTTCTGGATTTTGTGCCACATCCAGTGGTGAGTAGGGGCTGCTCCCAGCTCACCGCTAAGGGGTCGCTCCTGGTAGTGTTCATGGCGAGCGAATGGGGCTCCCTTATGCAGAGTGTGTGTGCTCCAGCCCTTTGAGCCATTTCCTGCTCCCACAAGAACATGGTTTCTAACAAGTTCAGGCCACATCACCCTAACCCTCTTTGACCGGCTGCCTGAGAAAGTTCCAGGCTGCTAGGTCAACGTGTTATCTGTTCTAGCCGCCAATGAGAGATAAGGCCCTGCCTGCTCTTCCGTGGAACATTTGCCAATGGGAAAGCTTGCCAACGTGACCTCTTCCTCTGACCCTTTAAGATACGTCCCTATCTCCATAGTTCAGTAACTTTTTTTAAAAACAAAACATGCCTGGAAACCATTCCTCTGAAATGTAATTATCAAAAAGGACAAGGCCCTCGTCTCCCAGCCTGCGTGGGAGGAGAAAAAGCTAACTTTCGGACACGGCTCGCTGATAATATTTACACTGACCAGCCTTTGTCAGTTTTAGCCTTTCTGGTACTACGACCTCCATCTCCCTCTTGATTCCCTCCTTTTCCCTTTAAAAACTATTTTAGGGGCCAGAGAGTTAGTACAGTGGGGAGAGCACTTGCCTTGCAGTGACTGACCTAGGTTTGATCCCCAGACTCCCTGGAATGATCTCTGAGCTCTGAGCACTGCTAGGTGTGGCTCCAAAACTAACAGAAAACAAGTAAAACACTAGTTTTAAGCTAGAGAGAGTACAGAGGGTTAGATACTTGTCTTGCATGTGGATGACCCCGCTGCCCTCCCAAGCATTGAATATGGTCTCTCTAGCACTGCCAAGAGTGATCCCTGGGCACCACCAGGTGTGGCCCCCAAACAAACAAACAAACCCCAGTGTTAAAGGTCAGGGAGGTGGCTCAGTGGTAAAGGCCTGACTTGTGTCACGAGACCTAGGTTTGCTCCCTGGCACCGCAAATGGGGACAATACTAGGGTCAGAGAGCTAGGACAGGGGTTAAGGCACTTGCCTTGCAGGCGGCCAACCCTATGCCATCCCCGACACCACATGGTCCTGTGAACATGGCCTGTGTAGCCCACGAGGTCACTGCGGGATTCAGGGGGACTCAAGTCAGCCCTGTCACCACAGCCTAAACAATACTGTAAGTCCTCAGTCTATTGTATTGACTGCTGGTCAGGGTCATCGAGAATCACCAGGAGAGGAGCGGGCTTGTGCCTCCTGAGCACTGCCTGGGAGACCTCCCAAAAATAAGAAGAAAGAAACAGCAATAAAATAAAATAAAACCCAGTCACCTCTGAGTTGAGTTCACTGTTGACCCCACTTGCTTATTTGAAAAACTTATTACTGGTTAAAACCTGTCCCGGACCAGGGAGAGAGCTCAAAGGGCTGGAGCTTCACATGTAAGAGGCCGGGGTCCTACCCCTGGCACCGCTTGGCTCCCGAGCACTGCTGGAACCCATTTCCTCCGCACACACCCTAAGTAATCATTGAGCATTGCTGGTGTGTCCTAAAAACAGAAACAAATGACAAGAAAAAAAAATCTATCCCTAACCCTTCTCCTTCCCCATTCCCAGCAGTGGCGTGTAGGGCGTTTGCCTTGGATATGGCCAACCTGGCCAACCCAAGTTTGATTCCTCCGCCCCTCTCGGAGAGCCCGGCAAGCTACCAAGAGTATCTCGTCTGCACGGCAAAGCCTGGCAAGCTACCCGTGACATATTCAATATGCCAAACACAGTAACAACAAGTCTCATTATCGGGACATTACTGGGCCCGCTAGAGCAAATTGATGAACAGTACAGTACAGTATAGTTTTAGGCTTCATCAGTGAATTGTCTCTTTTCCTCCACCCAGAGAAGTTTATAGTGTTTTTATGAGCACCTAATCCCCTGAGTTTATCTTTTAACATTTTCCTTGTGCTTTACCTCTCATTGTTACAATTCCCCAAGTCAATCACTTATAAGTCAAACCTTCTGGTCACTCTGTGTTGGGTAACATTGCTTTTGTCCTTCAAGAAGCTTAGGTTTTATCTGGTTACACCCATTAATCTGGTTACACCCATCAATCTGGTTACACCCATCACAGTGCTCCTGAAGCACTTCCACTTCCATTGTGTTTACATGTAAACATGTAAATAGTCTTCCCTATGCTCTCCTTCCCACCCAGTTAATCAGCTTTCCCCTTAATCAGACTTTGTTAATTTGTAAGATCAGTTTCCCAGAAATCTACGATTTTCCATGTATGAGTGAAATATTGCCTTTCTCCTCTCCTTATGCCTTATGAATAGTTTACCTTAAAGTAATATCCTTTTTGTATAGATACAGGAAGACCGTTAACATTATGCTTTGTAACTTAGGATTTGATTGACCTTGAATATTATTCACTCCTGGGCATCTGCTTTTTCGACTTAAGCCTCAGTTGCCCTTAGTTCCTAACACCCCAAAAGCAGGGTCCCGACGAGGGACTGAATGGACCCAGGGCAAGCAGTGAGCTACCCTGGCAGCGAAATGGGCCAGGCCTAACTATAAGTTAAGAGTTTGATCATGGACAAATGCTGTCATGATCCAAGGTAACGACAAGACTAGGATCCTGCTAGGGGTGGGAAAGACTATCTGGC